CCCCCCCCCCATACATACGACCCTTCAGCTTTTTATATTCTAAATTTTTTCCATATATTATATAAATCCTATTTAGTTTTTTATGAACAATTATTTTTCGGGGTTTATATGTCAAAAGATCAATTCTAGGTTTGAAGGGTCGAATTGCAAGTTTTCTTATGAGAGACCACCCGGAGACGGAATAGAACTAATCTCTCCAGATCATCTCATTAGCAGGACACTGGTCAGGTGTAAATGGTCGGAAAAGTGAGAACATTCGAAGCCCCGGACCCTTGGTCACTGATCTGTATCTGTAATGTTCCGGAGATGAAATCTTAAACCCCATTTGTCAATTGATACTTGGATACTCTCATCAATGTTCACAGTTCTCTACAGAGCTTCGTCCAAACCCGCAGAAAGACGAAAATTAGTTTGTTTAGGATTCAAATTGTTTTCAAAGCTTATCCAGGTGTACGGATACATATGAGAGGGTAGTCCGGATACATTAGGAACCAGGATTGAACCTATTAGAACCTACTCGTCTGTTAAATCAAGATTATATTGATACAGGGCTTAGAATAAGAGCACTAAATATCCGGTCCGAGGATTCACATTTTATAGCAGGAGCTTATCTATATCTATATCTGCACAATATACTGGAGTTTATATATATATATTCAATATAGTGGATTTAATACATTAACATCCAACCATTCACAGACGTTAGTTTAACAATGCAATAAAAAGTTGAGTACACGAACACAGTATGTGTATTACTTCTTGTCATACCCGGGATTTAAACCAATTAGAGCAGAGGAATAAAGTGGTATGAGAACATACCCTGAGATGTTTACTAAGGTGCTAGATCAGAACAATACTGCTCCGCGGAGTGATGGTTTAAGTGATCTTCTCAATATCTACAGATTCTCTCACAGATACTCTTCAAGAGGACAGGGAGACAGAGAGAGATGATATCCCAGATACAGAGAGAACCATCGGACATGGGAACTATGTGCGAAGGAGATAAATATGTGCTAGGATATCAGTAAACCTATTTTAGGAATTCTCTAGACCAGGTTTAGGAAATATCAAGGTTAGGACTAAGGAATGATATGCAAACATTTAGGAAAATCTATTTCAGTATTCGGACATGTTTGAACCAGGTTTCAAAAGTTTGGAAAACCTCTGCTTTATGTTAAGCCTAGAGAATCTGAAGATAAGGTTCAGAGATGACATTTATTTTGTAATCTGATTGAATTCTCTGGAAGCTGTCTACTACTTTAGTGCTGTTAGGGTCAAACAAACTTGTGTTTAAAGAATTTTGAAGCGGGTTCAGTAACAATGGTCGATATACGATACTGATAATGTGTTTCAATTCCATTTTTGACCGAGGCTGGGTTGGGTTTAAAGTGCGTGGGAACAGGTAGGGAGGAGAAGGAGGAGGGATAGGTAGGGGTAGGTCTTTTCAAACTTCTGTCTCCGGGTACAATAAACCAATAAAACAGTAAACTCAATCCTGTTCACACCTAAACACCCCTCCCGGAGCAGAGTAGAAAGGGGGAGGGGATAATTAACACTTGTTTTTGATACTTCCTACGACTACCAGGATGAGTAAAGGGTGGAGTATATCTTGTCTAGTTTATTACCGAATGTAGATCCAGGTATAGATAATATACAAGAGTTAAAAAGAATATAAACAATTTCATCCAATATTACAAACAGAAGAACAGAGGGGTTGTATAAACAATACTCAGGGTAAAGTTGGTCCGCACACTTTTTAGTTGGAATAAACTTTCCAACTTTATTTAATTTTCACAAATAAATAATATAAAAGCCAGGTATAGGAGGGGATATAGAGAAGAGGTGGTGAGAGTAAGGATTTAAAGGATAAGAACTTGAAACATTCTCAGAATAATGCAGAGCTTAGAATTAATATTCAGCAAAATATAAATTTGGCAATCCTTAAAAGAAGGGAAGCATTGTAACTACACTGTCATGAAAAGTATGAAATCTTTTTATTTCCACAAATTCCCCCTTCCCCCACCCCGGCCCCCTGAAAACAAGCCCTGCAGTGTATAAGAATATTCTCTGCTTGAAGAATCTATAAAGAAAACACTGAAGAATTGTTTGTATAAAGGGAGCAAACATAAGTGATGAAAGAGGAAACATTTACTCATTTTACTAGGAGGTGACACAAGTCACACTAATGCTATCTAAAGATGTCGTATATGTTCAGGGGGAGGGGGGCGGGGGGGGGGGTTAAAATAATACAATCGTGCTCAAAATTGGTATATCATACTGAACCAGGCTATATAAATAAAAAAACTGTACTATATTGATCTATTCTGTTTTCTTTAGTTTTGTTTTAGATTAAGAATTGGTGAGAAGGGTTGGGTGAGATAAGATTATTAAGAGGATTGAAGAGTAAGGCACTATGTAGAGTGGGTGGATTTTATCTTTATTTGAGAATTCTGGCCGGGACAGTTCTCCCCACCCTAAACTCCTTACAATCCAAACCTTACTCCAAACCTATCCAAAACAGACCTAATCTAATCTTCGTTAGACTAGGATAGGTTTACCAAATATCTATTCAAGACTTTTCTTCAAAATATGATTTTATCTCATATTGACACTTATCAGGGGTTGAAGTTCTTATTCGGGATGTAACCCCAGAGCTTAGAAAATACAAGAAAAATCTATATTAGTTATTCTGTAAAATGTACATTGTACACTGTATACAGGTATGTAATAATTTCTAAGTAATGTTTGTTTTAGATTGTATTCAAGCTCTTAACGTAATATAGTTTAGTGCACATATAGATACCATTTCAGTTTGACCATTTAATATGTTTACACAGTTACTTAACTTTTATGTATTGACAAGTACAAGTATATACATTATACAATATAGTCAACAATACTTTAAACAGTGGCGAATCACGCCCTCTCCCTCCCTTACAAACTCCCCCC